GGAAGTGTTCAGGGGGTTGCCCAGCCCCATCCCCCGCAGCCTCTTCCGCAAGCTGGCGGATGGGGATTGGGAATATGCTGAGCCGGCGGGTCAAGGAGGCTGGTCACCCGTGGGGTGTCCCACTGGTCAGCGCTGCCAAACACCTTCCTTAGGGACCTGGGTGATGGGGAGGGAGCACCCTCGGCAAGCCTCCCGAGCTCAGAGGGGTGTCTCCACACCGAGGGTCGTGCTGCCGGCCAGGGGATCTGGGCAGGCTGGAAAAATGGGCAGAGGGACCTCATGGAGTTCATCCAGGGGAATGCCAGGTCCTGCCCTTGGAGAGGGACAACCCCCGGCCCTGGTACCTGCTGGAGAGCAGCTCCAGGGAGAAGCCCCTGGCAGCCCTGGGGGGAAGTGACCTGGGCAAGCAGCGGGCACGTGTCCTTGGACTTGTGGCCACCAGACCCTGGGCAGAGCACTGAGTGGGGCAGGAGCTCCCCCTTTGCTCCGCTCTACTGGGACGCCTGGGGGTGCTGGGCCTGGTGCTGGGCTTCCCAGTGCAGGAGAGACTGGGACATACTGGAGTGAGACCGGTGCCGGGCCACTGCAATGATGAAGGGTCTGGAGCAGAGGCTGGGAGAGCCGGGGCTGCTCAGCCTGGAGAAGAGATGGCCCTGGGGGGATCTTATCCATGTGTGTACATCCCTGGGATCTATCCAGAGGCACTGGGCACCCTCTCCCATGCCCCTCCTGCCCCCCCACCGTAGGGTTCAACGTGGAGACCGTGGAGTACAAGAACATTTGCTTCACCGTCTGGGATGTGGGCGGCCAGGATAAAATCCGACCCCTCTGGAGGCACTACTTCCAAAACACACAGGTACGTGGAATGAGGGCAGGGATAAACCAGCAGTGGGGCTGGCTTGGGATTCCTGGGAGCTTGGGGCCGGATCCTGCCTGAACTGGGGGTGGTGGCAGGGAATGTGTCCTGGTCCCCAGCGTGGGGCGGGGGGAGAGGGAGCAGTGGTGCCCCCGGGATGCTCTGGCTCTGCCAGGGTGCACCGGGAGGGCAGCGGGGTTGCTCCCCTTTGGGTCTGGGGGTGCCTGCAGCCCACCTGGGGTGTCCCCCTCTTTGCTGCCCGCTCCAGCCTGGCTTCTCCCGCAGGGTCTCATCTTCGTGGTGGACAGCAACGACCGGGAGCGAGTGCAGGAGTCCGCCGACGAGCTGCAGAAGATGGTGAGTGAGGCGGGGGGTGGGATTCGGCCTGGCAGGGAGCTGGGCATCCCCCAGCCCTCCCCCGGCTTGCCCAGCAACATCTGGGTGGGTGTGAGGTGGGACCCAGCTCCGCTCTG